GAGTTTAGACCATAGCTCATACGGGCCATCTGCGGGTACGTAGTGGAGTGTTCCGGTCCAGAAGCCGAGCTTTTTCCAACAGGTTGCTCGCAGAAGGCACGCATTTTGCGGCCCTTGCTAAAGAGTGTAGTGCTTAGGTTCCATAATGAAGGGAGCCATATGGGTGTCTAATTTGGACTCCATGATGTTTGAGGGCCCCTGATTTATGGAACCTTCTATATCATGATGTGTGTGTAAACAGCACACAGAAGCGCAAAGCCTCAGCAAAGGAATGGGGCCCCTGCCTATGAAATTTCCGAAAATGCCCGACTCAGTCTTTGAGTCGAGCTGGGAATAGGATTGAAATTGCCAAGATAATGTGTACTATGTTGCACTAAGGCTATACCTGCATTTGCAGATTCATGCATACTGTCTCTTTGCATGTTCTTGGACACGAGCCCACAAGAAGCCCACAAGACTTGCATTCGATACGAGGCAAAACGCAGTTCTCAATCAATCTCAAGGGAACGCAGGCGCTACAGGGAAAGGCGCTCCACCGAACGCAGATAAGCACGGATGTCCACCAACTTGGCTGCCTCTGTCCCACCATTCGTGGGCACTGCTGACAACATTGCAGCAGACACAAAGTCTTCAGTTGCCGTGTCCGACGTACATGCACGCCATGTCCTTGCGAGGAGAGCCAGCAAGCACGGCAGGCCGATGAGGGCGAAGAAGCCGCCGACTAGCGTGATAATCACCGAGAGTAGGGCAAAGATCCGAAAGGCCTGCGCAGAGCCAAATCCAAGCATCGCCACACCGAGAAAAGCTGTGGAACATCCCTGTAGCACATCGAAGCTGCAAGACTCAAGGGAAAGCCGCATACGTCTGTCCCAGGGAGTCCCGGGCGGCACGTCGTGGTCGGCAAAGTGCACTATGTGGCAGCTGTAGTCGACGCAAAATCCAATCGCCATGACGCAGACGGTGAATGAAATAAGATTGCTTGTGATACCGCAGAGCCACATGAATCCAAACAAAACACAGGTCACAGCCATAACGTTACCTACTGCAAGGAAAGCGAGGTGAACAGGCATAGTGATAAGCACCGCCAGGAACACTCCGATGAACGCAAAGCCGGCCGTGCTAAAGATCTTGTCCTTGATTATCCTGTAGCGCGCTGTCTGCGTCGGGAAGCTTAGGTGGTATGGAATGGCGTCCAGCTCAGGGAAGCCCTCCCTGACCTGGCTAACGATGTTCAGGGCTTGCTCGCTGCGCTTCGCTGCATCCGTTGGTTGCCACAAGAAGGCACGGCACCGAGCTGCTCGCAGATGCTCTGTTACGCCGCCCTTGGCATCCCGGCCACTGGCTGCGCCTGTGACTGAATCGTTCAGATACGTGAGTATCGCTGAGTCCACCTCACACATCGAGGCCGAACTGCTCAAAGAGCCTACTGCACGATCAAGCCAACAATCAACTGGCAACGCCAGGTCCGACCTGTTGTTCAGCGTTGCGATCAACTCGGACAAACGACTGCGGTAAGACGGATCTAGGGTTCTCGGTGCGTCAAAGACAAGACCCAGCTCCATGGGAAGACTTCCAACAAAGGAGCTCTCGACATCTTCGAAGTAGGCGTTTACCCTGGATGAGTCTGTCACCAAATACGTGTCTGGCATACCTCGCTCCACCTGCAGCCCGAAGTAAATGCCAAGCGCGGTCAATGCCAACCAAGCCGATGCGCCCGAGATTTGAAAAGGCAAGCTGTGCTCGACGGCAAAGCCAAGCTTGGCTTTCATGACGCCCTTCAGCTTGCGTCCACACCCCATAAGAAGTCTAGCTTTCGCAGCAAGCCCGCTCTTCGGCTCCTCGCGAGCGGTCATCTTGCGTTGGTTCAGCGTGATCATCGCTGGGAACATGACCACCATGCCTGGCCGGCTATGACCTACATCATCAGCATCATGATCATCATCATCATCATCATCATCATTATCATCAACAGCAACATCATCATGGTCATCATGCACCATCATGTCACATCGTCATCGTCGTCAGCTCGATCAACTTCCGTGTCTTCAGCATCACTCTTAATATCATGGCCGTCATCTTATCACATGCAAGTAATGGCTTCCCATTCCCAACCCCTATAACTTGCCCCGGGCCCCGGTCCTTCGAAGCACTCCCACCTTACTAACAGGCCTGTACTAAGCCCACTTTCTGCCTCCCATGCCTATCCAGTTCATGATGAGAACCAAGACAAGGCCAATGTTGAACCATAAGAAACTCGGAAGATCTGAACTAGTGGCGGCAGCTATGGAGAACGCAGAAACGGACGTCAAGGTCGTTGTAGTTGCTGCCCTACCCCCACGCGGAAGGGCCCTAACCATGACTTCTTCCATGTCCGTCACGTCCGGCCCGACTGCATTCACCGAGGACACCATCAAGAAAATGATATCAACACCCACGGCTAAGCCTAAAAATGGCACCATGGTGCCCAGGACGCTCACCTAGGTTCTCCAGTAACCCCTTACTAATAAGGAACCCTAAAAGCCTTAAACCCTAAAAACCCGAAACCCTAAACCCCTAAACCCAGGGTACTTCTGGGGTACCTAGTCACTCCATGCCCCAGGTATCCAAGCAGACCGAAGCTGGCCAAACCGGAGAGGCCTGGCAGGAATGTTTAGGATTTATAGGGATTAGGGGTTTAGGGGTTTAAGGGTTAAGGGTTTCAAGTTTAGGGGTTTAAGGGCTCAGGGGTTTAGAGTTTAGGGGTTTAAGGGTTTAGGGGTTATAGGGATGAGGGTTTGGGGTTTAAGGTTTATGGAATAAGGGTTTGAGGGTTTAAGAGTTTAGGGCTTAAAGTTTGAGGGTTTAAGGGTTTAGGGTTCAGGCTTTCAAGGATTTAAGGGTTTACAGCCTGGAATGCAGGTCCCGCCAAGGAGGACTTTGACTTGTGAGTTGCCCGGAATCCTCGTGTCCGTTCCTTACTGGTGGCTAGCGTTTAAGCTTTCGGGTCTAGGGCTCAATAGGGAATACAGGGAAATTATAAGGATTTTACAGGGATAATGGAAAGGAAATGGAAAGTACAGTATAATAGAGTAGATATGGAGATTTTACAGATAGCATACTCCCTTATTCCTTACCACCACCAGCAAGGTTCCCAACATAAGCACCAGATAGCCTGCCATAATGGAAATCGTGATGGCAATCAGCGGGACGTGGTCTATGCCAATCAACAGACTCTCTGTAGCAATCGTTGAAGAGCTGAACTGGTTGATTCTAACAACAGTATTCTCGGGGTATCCGTTATCGTTGATATCTTTCGCGGCCTGCTTCTCGAAGCGCATGCCGTCATCAGTGTCCATCAGAGTAAAGGTCGACATTGCCGAAGTGCTGGCAGACAGCCATTCACTGAGGGACAGCTCGGTGGCACCAGGGCCAGGAAAAGGTCGTGACGAAGCAATTAGGAGCGGCAAGCTTGCACGTTGCTGCATGTTCATGGCAGCCACCACCGTCTGCACCGCTGCATTTGAAGGGGCGCTTACATTCCGCTCAAGTGCTTCAAGCTCGGAAAGACGGGTTGCAACATCGTTCCCAAGGAGTGTGATTGTGGCGCTCCTTGTCACGCATGGCGACCCAGAACTGGACCTCTCGCCCACATCATGAAAACCCAGCTGATGGCCCTGGATCGATTCGAATCGGGAGTCATTCTGAATCTGCACCTCTGCCTTTCGTATCTGTCGCAGCACAGCAGAAGATATAAGGCTACGTCCATCCAGCGGCTTCGCGATGAAGACGAGGCTTCTCGTGTCTGGGAAAACATCTGTCGCACGCATGTAATCCTTGTACTCGTCTGTCAGAGTGAAAGTAAAGGTGTCCAAGAAGCCAGTGTTGATTGTAAGGATGCCAAACATGCTCTCTGAACCACCCAGCAGCAACATCCCAGGCAGACATCCTACATAGACTGTCAGTGTTGCCACAATGGCAACAATGGGACGCCTGGCAATCCCGCGGGCGAGGCATCTGAAGAAACTCTCCTGGGCATGTCCGACAAGACCAGAGAGTAACGAGAGACTTTGCTCGATTTGAATGGCCCGGCTGGGCCTCAAAGGAGGCCCGGGCACAGCAGATTCGCCCATTTCAGGCTTTGTAGCCATGGCTGCTCTTAGGGTAGATGTTGATCCGTTGGTCCTAGTCGGCCTTCCTGTCTGGAGGGAGCTTAATGCCAGTCTGGTTCCTTGAGGCTGCGATGGGGCCATGTCAAAGCTGCTCTATTGCTTCGTGCTGCAATCACATTGTGACATTGCTTGGCTCCGCTTGACTTCCTTCGCTCAACAAACAGACATGCGTTGCCATTTGGACCCGTGACGTGCGCTGGGGCCAACGAAGGGATTATAGACATAGAGAGGAAATGTGTGCATGTAGCAACTTAGGTGATGGGGATTGGTTACTCTTCGGGTGCTTTTGCCTCAAGCCTCCGGCGAAACCCACGAAGCCAAGCAGGCTAAGCCACGACCTGGTGGTTTCAGATGCCCTGCCTGCATGACAGCTTATCTGTAACCCTCAGCTCCAAAGAGCCTAAAAGCCCAAACCCCAAACCTCTGTATTGGAAGAAACACTAAACTCTAAAGCCCTAAACTTTCAAATCCAAGCCAAAAAGCCTCGCGCTCGCGCGGATGCTCGGACACACTGGCCAAGGTCTGGCAGAGGAAAAGAAGGCAAGGGTCTCAGGAAAAGTTGCAGAGCAACAAGAAATTTGGATTTGGGTTGCTACATGAAACTGTTGAAAATGTTTAACTTCATGTGTCTTCAATCGACTATGAGAACGTCGCATTCGTGGCACAAGTGGGCTGGGCCTGCAAAGAAGTTTGAGGCATTCTTACTACAAATAGGTCCCATTTTGGTACCTTTAAAGGGGGAAAGGGGGTCATATAGGGGTATATAAGAGTTAGGGCTTATTGGGTAGTTCCCAAAAGCAAGGTCCCATTCTGGTACCTCTAAATATTAGGTGCCGTAATATAACCTATAACCAAAAGGGGCCCATAGTTTTGGGATGTTTTGGGAACTCCCCACATGCTTTTGCATGTGACCTTTCTGTCCAGGTTCTTCAGGTTAGAGGATTCCGGTGTGCAATCATGGTTTAAACATGGCCAAGTCCTTGAAGTGTCGAGCCCCAAGTGACCCCGTGATCCCCAACGCTGCTATCTCATTTTTCCGCTTGCGTTCCGCCGCCTTGAGCAACCAAAGCCTCGAATCTCAATCCATGGATCGACAAAGCTTTTCCAACTCGCAACCACTTAGCACCAACAGACCCTTAGCGCCAAATCATATTGTTCTTCAAACTTCGCGGCGAAACCTCTTCGCATAATAATGAACCTCACCCCACACCCATTTATGAGGATTCCGTCACTGATTCAATGTTACGATATTGGGGGACTTCTGACTTGGAGTTGGTTCGGGGTATTTTAGGAACGGGATTAAACGTCACCTGCGCTCAGCATCCCCTGTTGGTTCATGATAGAGAAGGGCTTAAAACAGGGTTAGGGCTTAGGGTTCAGGGTTTCGGGCTGACGGTGTAGGATTTCGGGTTTGGGGTTTACCCTAAACCCTAAACCCTAAACCTTAACTGCTATTGTGCACTTCAGTCGCCGGCTCCGTGCAGTCGTTGGCAAGAAGGCTTCTTCAACCCTTTGAACTTCGGACCTTTCTCCCTACAGCCTCTTTTATAGGTGTTTCCAGAAGCCCACGGGCCCCAACATAGACCACAATGCATTTTTACCCTTATCATAGGATTGAATCCCCATGAAGGATCCCAGATTTTCGGGAACCTGCAAATAACTCTAAGCCCTCCAAAATCCTGAGCCTTGGACCCGCTAAACTCTAAACGCTATGCCTTAAGCCGAACCCATAAACCTTTCAACCCTAAACCCTTTAACCCAAAACACTGAAAACCTTAACCTGAAATCTTATAACCCTTAGCCTCCAATCCGTAAAGCCGCATTTAAAACCGTAAGCCTTTCGCACTCGCCCAGTTGCCTGAGATCGCTGCGGCCGTCTGCGGAGGATTCCGGAGCCCTGGCCAGCGGTTGGGAAGTCAGACTCATAGATCCCTGAGAAGGGTGTGAAGAGTCTACCTGGGCCCCAAAAGTATGTAAAATAATAGCCCTAAACCCCTCATAAAAGCCATAAAGGCCGTCATTTTACATACTTTTGGGGTTCAGGTAGGGGTTAGGGATCATAGGGTTTAGAGTTTAGGGTGTAGGGTTTAGACTCATGGGCCACTGAAAGGGGTGTTTAGAGTCTAGGGGTTAGGGATCATAGGGTTTAGGGCTTGGGGTGTAGGGTTTAGACCCATGGGTCCCTTTAACTGGACTGCTGTTAAGAAACTTAACTTAAGTTACTCTAGCAAGGAAAACCCTACTTTTACCATATGTCCATACTATGGACACTTAGCTTAAGTTCGATAACAGCAACCCATGGTCACTGCACATGCCTGTTGCCAATTGCCCGTTCGCTCTTATCGAAATCGCGCCATCACGAGACCGTGTCATCAGAACTGAGCTTTCAGCTCATCTGCTTGACAAAAATTGCATTGCTCTCGCAGGCCAAATCGGAACGACAGAATTGTCAATGTCATATCAATCTGCAAGTTTGCCAGACATCGTAGCCCTGCAGGTTGCTGCCTGAATGCTTGCCAGATCTTCTGCCAGTCATCAGTCGCAATCAAACAACGGGACCGATAAGGGGACAAGTAGGAGGCCTTGAAGGGACAGCTACAAGAACAAGAAAGGGACGATTGAGGGGACAAACAGGGGGACAAGTAAGGGGACAAGCAAGGCGACAAGTAAGGGGAACAAGTTAGGGGACAAGTAGGGGGACGACCAAGATACCATTATGGGGACAAGTATGGGGACAAGTATGGGGACAAACATTGGGACTCTATGGGGACAAGTAAGGGGACAGGCAGGGGGACAAGTAAGGGGACAAACAAAGGGACAAGTAAGGCAACGCGTAAGGGACAAGTAAAGGGAAGTGATGCCCTCAACCCTGAAGCCTACACCCTAAGCCCTAAACC